CACAAATTTAACGTGATTCGGTCAAAGTGACCTACATCCACAAGCGGAGAGGAGTAATTTTACAATATACCAACAAGAGTACAAAAGAGAGTACAAATTAGAGTAAACACTCTAATTAATTCCAAATACCCAAGAGAATAACCTCACAAAATCACTCCAAAGAAAGGGTTCACACAAGTGCTTCCCAACACTTAACTCTCATACAAAACACTCTTAATAAAAGGAAGAAAGGAAGAAACAAGAAATGAATACTCAAGTCTTGTTGGTGTGTCTAAAATAAACTAATTACCTTCCCTTTTATAGGCAAAAAAGTTTTGGCCTCTTAGGTGTAAAAGAAGAGATACAACTTGTACAAATGATGTCCACCACATAATACAATATTTTTGGGTCCCAAAGAACATTCCTGACAAAGTCTACTTTGCAAGCGTGCTTATGTATGATGGAATCCATTAGCCAAAATATTGGCCATAATTACAAATAGATTTTTTACCAATTTTAATTCGTCGAAATTAGGTTGATCGGTAGTAAATAGCGGCTGAAGTCGGTCGCAATTTCCGATCGATTTCGATCGATCAATAAAATTTCACAAGCGCCCAAAAAAGAAAAAATTTGCCGAAAAAACTGACCGAAGTCGGTAGGTATTTTTAATTATGTAATTAAAAAATGCAATGTATAGGAATCGAACCAGGGTCTATATTGTGGCAGGATATTGTTCTACCACTACACTATTGGTACATTTTGGTTTAAGATTATTTTTTATTTTATTTGTATTCTTTAATTGCATTTTCGTGCGAATATTACCGACCGATTTTATTAAAAATATAAAATTATCGACCGAAGTCGGTTGATTTTTAAAATGTCTGACAAAAATAATTGACCGATTTCGGTCGATTTTTTGAATATTAATTTTAATTTATTTTCTATGAAAAATGACCAAAGTTGGTCGGTTTCTTTAATAAAAAAAAATTACGGGACGCCAAATTAGTTTCTCGCATTTTTGCGCAAAAAAAAAAAATCAACCGAAGTTGTTCGGTTTCGTAAAAAAAATTAATAAAAAAAATAATTTGAAATATCGACCCACTTCGGTCGATTTTTTAACCGATCGAAGTCGATCGATCTACCGCGATTGATTTTGGCCGAATTTCTAATAGTGACTATGTCTTTTCAACTAAATATATAGGCAAATATCCACTTGATCACCATCAAGATCATATTAATGCGTGTTCTACGTAGAGGCTTTTCGTATATATACCATTTATGAAACTATATTACCAAATATGTTCATAGTTTGCTTATTACCCTTCATGCTAATAGTATTTCTACCTAATATATACAATGCATTAAATAAGGAATCACTGTAGCTTTATGATTCCTTATTTTGCGCGCTAAAAAAGGAGAATTAAATATTTTCCAGATCTTCCCCAACGCAAATCACGCACATTCCATAATTATCGTCGGCTTCACTCTGATCTTCCACAACGCAGAACAAGATTTTTCATACTCTATTTTTGCGATACACTCTGTTTCCAGAAATTCTCTCTACATCTCTCTCTATTTCTCAATCGCAAATTTTAGTAATACAAAACAAATGAAAAGAGAGCAGCAATTCCACCATTGACAGTCATTAAAAAGCTTGAAAGCGTTGAATTCAAATTTGGGTTTTCAAAAATCATTATTTGTTTGCATTGGGTGTTGTTGAACATAATCGGGAATATGGTTTGGAGCTTATGTCTTAATTTTGAGGGGTTTTGGTGAAGATTAGACTTGGTTTTGACTGAATTTCAGATTGAAACTCGAAGAACAAGAAGAAGAAGACATATTGCAAAAATTGTAGAAAAATTATAGATAAATTGTAGATTATTGTTTATTTATTTATCTTTTATTCATTTACCTATTGTATGAAAGTTGAACAACATTGTGTAAAAATTATATTAAAGTGGATGATTTAGTACTGGTTTGGACAAAAATATATATAAAAAATGTGAAACATATATTTCAGGGGAAGCATGTCGATTCCAAATATGTACCCAGTTTGTAGATAAATTGTAGATTATTTGTATTCTGATTGTAGATGCTTTATTTTCTGTTTTCACAAATAAAAACGGCTAAACCTTCTACAATTCTTCTGAAAAAAATGCAATTATGTAGAAAATCCCAATTAAACTACAATCGAATGGGAATTGGGATATTAAAATTCAATATACCTAATTTGTGATATTTTGTAGATGAATTGTAGATTATTTGTATTCTGATTATAGATGCATTGTTTTCTGTTTTCACAAATCCAAAACGACTAAAACTTCTACAAAATCTTCTGCAAAAAACGCAATTATGTTAAAAATACCAATTAAACTACAATCAAATGGGAATTGGGATATTAAAATTCAATGTACCCAGTTTGTAGATATTTTGTAGATAAATTGTAGATTATTTGTATTCTGATTGTAGATGCTTTGTTTTCTGTTTTCACAAATAAAAAATGGCCAGAACTTCTACAAATCTTCTGCAAAAAATGCAATTATGTCAAAAATACCAATTAAGCTACAATTGAATAAGAATTGAGATATTAAAATTCAATGTACCCAGTTTGTAGATATTTTGTAGATAAATTATAGATTATTTGTATTCTGATTGTAGATGTTTTGTTTTCTGTTTACACAAATAAAAAACGACTAAAACTTTTACAAATCTTCTGCAAAAAATAGTCTACAATTTTTCTACAATTTATCTGTAATTGCTGCAATATAATGTATGTCATGTTTTTCTTCTTCTTCTTCTTCTTCTTCTTCTTCTTCTTCTTCTTCTTCTTCTTCTTCTTCTTCTTCTTCTTCTTCTTCTTCTTCTTCTTCTTCTTCTTCTAGTTTCAATCTGAAATTCAGCCAAAACCAAGTCTAAATCTTCACCAAAACTCCTCAAAATTGAGATATAAACTCCAAAACATATTCTAAATTATTTACAACAACACCCAATCAAAACAAATAATGATTTTTGAAAACCCAAATTTGAATTCAAAGGTTTTTAATGGCTGTCAATAATGGACTTGCTGCTCTCTTGTCTCTTTGAAGGTTTGTTCTTCTTCATTGAGAAAATTTGAAGTTGAAGGTAAATGTGTGTATGAACTTTGAAGATTTGATTTCAATTTTGACTGGTTTTAGAAGAAAAAAACTTGAAATTGGACGTTAATGGAAGGGTGTTACATATGTTTCTCTGGTTTTAGCAGAGAGAATAATGGGTTTGAAATGTGGGTGTGGGGAGATACGTGAGTGTGGGTGT